CTGCCAAATACAAAATTATAGGACAGAAGATAGGATTAAGCTTCTAAAGACTGTGGTTAATGTATAGCTTTTTCTTTTGTTTCATGTTTTTTCTCCACATCATATAAATATAAATTGGAAATATAAAGTCAAGATTTCACTTAAGATCTTTTTTAGCCGTGCATACACAAAGCCAGAATTAATCAACAAGACATAAATGACTCAAGCTGTTACAGCAGATATTTAACTTTTAGTAATAAAAAGAAGCAATTTGTTCAGTTCTTTTTCTTGCAAGATAGAAATATTGAAATGGATTTTTCTTTACAGAGCACAACGTGATTACAGTCTGTTTACCAGCTGCTAATGGAAGAGGACTGGGAGGCTGTAATGCCTGTGTCACTACATAAACACTCAGTGGCACTTTGATGGTGCTCCTTTATTGCAGATTGCATTCATAAACAACAGGGGGAAAAAAAAGCTGAACAATCTGCACCCTTGCTCTGCTTATGTGTGTGTGATTCAGAACTCCTGTGGAAAAACTGTGTGTGATATATACATCAAAATGAAATCTCATTCCTCTCTGTGTGTGACAGTCGAATCATAAGGCCATGAGAAACATTAGGATGCTGTGTGTTGTGCTGGCAGCCCCACTGACCCTAATTTATAATGACTCCATTGTCTTGGGGAACACAGACGTATATCAGGCATAAATGAAGTAGGACAGGCACTTTAGCTTGGGAGATGAGGTGATTATAGCTCATGGATTAGTCTGCCTGGGTGAGGTGGATCATCAGCCCCGGGGTGTGCGCACACACATACACACATGCATGCACATGCACAAAAGTAGAATACGCTCAAACACGCACACACACAAATCACTTGACCAGCCGGTTTGCGTATGCACACTGATGAGTTTGCAAGATGCACACAAGCATGCACACTTGTGCACACACAATGACCTCACAAGAAAGCCAAACCAAACACAGCGTACGGTGGATTTACTGTAAACAAAGCCAACGGGAACATGAGCACAGCGTTGCCGAGTTCGGGTTCAGCTTGCTCCCCAGCCTTCTTAGGATGTGTGGTGCACAGCAGGCGTGTGTCACGGTCGTTTCACGAGATTTTTTTCCCATGACTTTATGTATTTGCATGTGGTTCTTTGCCAGTTACAGGAACAGAGAGCTGTTTCATAATGGCAGTACAAGTGTAGTCAGACTTAATTCAGTAATCCAGGAAGCTTTGTTTGATTGAGGTGGTTTAAAAAGTTTGACCTTAGATATAATTAAAGAATATTCCTTAGAAAAACAAGTCATGGTAAATGGCCTGTATTTGTATAGCGCTTTTCTAGTCCCTAAGGACGCCAAAGCACTTTTGCAACCAGTCATCCACCCACTGGTGATGGTAAGCTACATTGTAGCCACAGCCACCCTGGGGCGCACTGACGCCACCGACCACCACCAGTAGGCAACAGGTGAAGTATCTTGCCCAAGGACACAACAACCGCAACTGTCCAAGCTGGGGCTCGAACCGGCAACCTTCCGATTACAAGGCGAACTCCCAACTCTTGAGCCACGATCACCCTAAACCAGTCATGTCCTTGTCTGGATTAAGATTGTCCAGTGTTACAGCCAATCCAGGCTGGAACACTATTTTCTCTGGAGTTACTCTTTGGAAAGCTCTTCTTTACTGCTGTGCTGTGAACATGAACCTTCTTTATACCAAAAACTTTGTGGTTGAAAATAAACCTGTTGCTGAAGTGCACTTCCTCCCATGTCCACTTGAGGCTCTCTTCAAAACTGAGTTAATTCCCACAGACTACCGTGTGGGCAGCTGTGGCTACAACTGTAGCTTGCCTCCACCAGTGTGTGAATGTGTGTGTGAATGGGTGGATGACTGGGTGTGTAAAGCGCTATGGGGTCCCTAGGGGGAACTAGTAAAAAGCGCTATACAAATACAGGCATTTACCATTTTCCATTTAAAATTACTTTACAGCAGAAATAAACATCATTACAGACTTTTACCCAAACAGTTTTGATCTTGGGTTGCTGCACACTACTTAATAGGCTAATTCAGGTCACTAGCTTGACACTTCCACTGGTATTTGAAGCCTTTTTAATTATTTATCTGACACACTGTTTATAAGGTTGGGGAAACCTGCAGTCAGCTGAGACTGAAGAAGTCACTTGGATGAGTGACGAAACGTTTCTCCCACAGAAAACGCTACGTTCAGATCAACAGAATCAACCTTTTGGGATTTACTTACCTGGATGATTGAGTACGCATCAAGACATATTTATCTGACGATAATACGGGTTAGGATCATCCAAGAAGTTTGGATTCCATTGTTTTGGTGAGTGAAATTCAAGTTAGTTGTAGGTAATGCAGCCATATGGGTTCAACTTGCTTACCAACTTAGCTATAACTAGACCATATCTTAGAGCTCTGAAACACAAAAATGATAAAAAGTCAACTGAAAAAGAGTTTTCACCGGACTCTCTGCAGTCCTGTGAAGAACTAAGTCCAGCCTTACCGCTTCCATAGGAATTAAGAAGGTAAATAGCAGCCAGGTTCTGATAATCAAATGAACCTGATTAAGTGATCATCTGGAACCTGACAAAACTTCTTTAAAAGCAGGAGTTTTGGGGTGTTGTGGGGATGTGGTAACACAATGCATATATGGTTTTTCCAAATTCACCCAGCAATGTTCAGAGAAACTTCAGAAAACCTAAGCGGTGTTTCTACAAGCTCTTGAGTCATGGGCTGTACTTACTTAGAGTCAAACTTTCTCTTTTACATGACTGTAGTAGCCCACAAAACAATAGAAGATCTAATGGTACTGACATCAATCTTTTCTATAGTCTGTGGTTTATACTTACTGTTTGTAAGAACATACTGTGGAGCACCCAGGTGTCAGGTTCAGTGCAGAGCAGCATTTTCTTTCATGCTGGAAGATACTGATGACAGGAGCTCTATAAGTGAAGATGTTCCCAAAGCTAGCGATGAGGATGAAATGGTTTATTTGCCATTTCTCAGAAAACTGATGAACGCCCACCTACCCAGCATCAAATGACAGAGACAGATACCAGCTAACATCTGAACATGCAACAGGCACTCTTGGAGAACACTGCACATAAAAGACTCAGTGGATAAAAACATATTGAAGCCATCTTTCTCTGAGGCAGCTGTGTGAACCACTTAGCCACTCAGCTGCGGAGTCCCACTCAGAAAAACATTTGATTTGATTTACTGTATAAGGCATTTGATGTGATAATTCGATGTGATATCTACCCTATGCCCTTTCACTTTCACATCATTTCAAGCTGCTCTCACCCCAAAGCTTGCCTCCTGGTAAAATAAGAAAAGAGTGGGGGTGGTGGGTATCTCATCATGTGGAGGGAAAAAAAGTATTCTCTTCTCATTCATTTAACTGTTGCTTTTATTGAAGCAATTTCACATTGTGCTCCGAGTAGTTTTTAAAAACTGAGCTAAACTTTGAAGGAGGCGAGATGGAGTTCAGCCGGCCTTTTTCAGCTGGAATAAATCAAGCTGTTAGTGAACAGAAGCCACAGTGTGAAGAGCGACTGTTTAGTGTCTTAGTGCAGTTTACAATCCTCTTGCTGAGCCCAGTGGCACTCAGACGAGCTTCCTCGGTGGTACTGTTGTTATAAGGAGGATTAGTTCAACCACCAGGCTGAGCTCTATCTGCGTCTGCCTCGGTGCGGCAAGAAAATCTCACCTGATGACATTTATGTAGCCTAAACACCCCGAAACACACAATTTACTTTAATTAGTTAATATAATCTCCTCTCTCATGAGCACAGTGTTGCAATCTTCCTTAAAAAAAACTGACCCTCCGTGGATCCTCGTGATCTGTGGAGCTTTTCCTGTGACCACCACTACGTGGCGCACTGAGTCATAAACTCAAACCAGCACACACGGCAGGGTGCACATGCACAGCACTGGAAGCTATGAAACAAAGGTCTTATAATGCCTGTGTGTGGCCATGGAAAAAAATGAAAGAGAATAAAAAATAAACCCGGTTTCCATTTGTTCAGACAATAAAATATTTGGCTATTTAGAGAAAATGGAAATGTTATTTTTTCTCTCCAAGAAAACAAGAGAAAACTCTGCCAGCAGAGCGCTTGAGATCGTTTTACAGGTTTGAGAATGGCAGCTTCCCAAGTGAAAACAGTGCTTTCGGGGGAAAAAAACAGAAAATGAAATTAAAAAGCTTGTTTTCAGGCCACCAGAAGAGCTCTTTATTGACATAATTATGTCAGTAAATCCATTAAACGACTGTTTGAAACGCAATCTGCACGCTGGTGTCACATTTGAATAAAACTTTTCAAGTAGAAAATGAAACTTGGACACTAGGAGAATGGCTGCTTAGTGAAAATTAAGCTGAACCAGTGAAAGTGGCTGGTTGCGCAGCGATCTGAGGTCTGTCTGCGGGCCCCTGGGAAGCCCGCACACACCAGCCACCCCCATCAATACCTCCCTCAAACCCTCTCACCCCCTCGAGTAGGAGAAGATGTGTTGTTTTTGAAAGCGAAACGCACGTCGTTCAAAAATCCAAAGCCGATGGGAGAGCGCGCACCCGTGAAACTGTACACTGCAAGAAATATCTGCAACAACAAACACCGCTGCAGCGGCTCGGCTCCAAAACCCCACCGTGAAGAACTTGATTATGACCCCCACCTCCCCCGTGCACGAGCACGGGACAAATAATATGGTGAATTTGTGAGGTTGGATCATTTTTTCATTCAAAAAAACGATCTCCTCGGGGGGAAATGGTTTATTTAAAAGTGGGGAAAAAGCAAAAATAGCCGATGAATCCAGGTTTTATTTGACTTATTTTCCTGGGAAAAGAGAATCAAGAAGACTGAACAGTCCGAGCTCTAGCCTCTCAACTGTCAACATTTTTTTCCAGTGTTCCCCGGCTGGCCCAGTAGAAGAGAGAGAGGGAGGGAGAGAGAGAGAGAGAGGG